ATTGAACCCTTTTTTTGGGAGCCCTAAATTTCATTCCTGGCATTTTCCCAATTACTGTCATTGCTTTTGAAGGTAACGTTTTAATATTTATCCAGTTGAATTTAGGTTTGTAAAGGTGAAAAGGTTTGAATATGTTTGCAAGCAGAATATTAGATTAACATTAACTGCAAGGCAGTATATTGATGACATTATGATTGGAGGTTGAGCCCCCTAAAGGTTTAAAGTAATCTCCCCTGGAAGCCCTTCAAGTCCAGTATGGAGGTAGAAGAGTTATAATAAAAGAACTGAACAGAATTACTAAGGGGTTAACAATCCATAGAGGCCAATGTATTTTTGTTACCGGACCATAAATATGCTTTTTAATGCTGAGAAACTGAACATTTTAACATGGGGCTCTATGGATCCAGCACAAGTCACCTCAGTACAACAGTGTCTGTACTATCAAATCAACATCTCTGTGGTTCGACTCAGTGAAATATAGAGCTGAAAACCAAGTACACAACTTTTTCTGGATTATGTTCTGTTAAAAATGATTATAATGTTGATAGATACTAAACAACAAATACACTAATTCAATTTATCTTCTCTTCTGTTAGCTTCAGTTTTGGTTCATTTTTTTTCAGTTAAAAGGATGACTAATGGGATTATCCTTCATAAGGTTGAGTGAACTGACCCAGGCAGTCAATAAAATAGAGAAGTTAACATGATAGTGAATGGACTGCACTCTTTTCTAACTGAAGACTGAAAATAAGTTGGGGGGAGGCGTGACTGTGGATTCTTCCTTTCTGACCTCCTGATAAAGGCACAACAGGAACACACCGGTCAGAAAGAAGGGAAGGGACCTGAACAAACACAAGCAGCAGCTGTGTCAACCAAACATGCACAGAAACACATACACACACATCTCATCTCATATCCAGTTAAACAGGATACAATATAATCACGTCAGAGCAGGGACGAAAGTTCACAATTTCTTTGTCAAACTACTCAAATATAAATGAGACTATGAAGACTTTATTAAATATACAGTTAAGACATAAAACTAAAAAGACTACTAAAATATTACATCTTCAGCACCTCAGCAGACACTTGTTTATCTCATCAGGTTGCAAGTTTTTAAGAGTTGTGGAATTTTCTTGCTCTCCTACGTCATTAACAGGATTCAAACCCCCCAAAATCTTCTGCTTTTCCGGTAAAGGCTCAGTTATCTTTTGTTTATATTATTAAGCACCCTTGTGGATCAAATGTAGTTTTGCAAATTATCATAATTTGTTTCTAATATTTTTGTAATCTTCAGAAATGATTGTAATCTTGTATAGAAATCACTTTTAAATGCTTAATATGCATATTTTATTGTTTTTATTTTTTTGCCTTTGTGTTATGTTTTCCACAGTTTTGATCAACACCTGCTGCATTTATATTAGCTATGCACACAAACTGACTTCACTCCTCACTCTGTCTTTA